AGCCATTTAAGATTCTCCACTGGTCTCACTCCTTCAAGAACAAGGGAGAATGAAGAAAACTAAAGACACAAGGGAAAGATTAGTCACCAGACTGAGTCCAGACCAACTAGATGGTGTCCAGCTACCATCACCAACTGCTCTGACAGGGATCACAACAGAGAGCCCTGGAAAACGCTGGAGAAAAATGTAGAACAAAACTCTAACTCACAAAAAAAGACCAGACTTACTGGCCTGACAGAGACTGGAGAAACCCCGAGAGTATGGCCCCCGGATGCCCTTTTAGCTCAATAATGAAGTCACTCCTGAAGTTCACCCTTCAGCCAAAGATTAGACAGGCCCATAAAACAAAATGGGACTAAAGGGGCACACCAGCCCAGGGGCAAGGACTAGAAGGCAGGCGGGGACAGGAAAGCTGGTAATAGGGAACCCAAGGTCAAGAAGGGAGAGTGTTGGCATGTCGTGGGGTTGCTAACCAATGTCAGAAAACAACATGTGTACTGTTTAATGAGAAGCTAGTTTGTTCTGTAAACCTTCAACTAAAGTACAATTTTAAAAAAAAAAAAAAGAATGTTTATAAGATAAAGGGAAGTGGGGCTCTCTTAGTATTCTACCCAGAGAGCCCTTTAACGCAAAACCATCTAATTTCCCACTCATTTCTCCCTCAAGAAGGCTGGGCTCTGAGGTGACCAGCTTGGAGGGCAGGCCAAGTCCTCAGTAGGAGCAGGCAGCCACCCCGGCCCCAGCTGCGACCCGCAAGGTTTCTAGTCTCTGGACTGTCCTGGACAAACGCGCCCGCCGGCCCAGCCACGCTGGAACGTGGAAGCTCTGCGGACTCTAAAAGACTGAGCATCCCCCATGCACGTTTGTGGCTGAAACTGAGTATGAGCTAAAGGATGGTCCCCTTGGAACCGCCACGCTTTCTCTAGGCAAGCGGACAGAGGACATCGCGGATGCAGACCGTTTTCTTCTTTTCTGTCTTCATCGGACGAAGTGGACAAAGCCGAGGAAACCCTCTTCCTTTCGCCAGGCTCCATCTCCAAGGCCTGGGGCAGTTCGCCCCTCTTTCCTCCCACGGCTCTGGCCCCTACGAGGAGAGGGGATGCACGGTTGTTGGTGGGTAATCAAAGCTGCGGAGCGTTCCCGAGGGGCAGGGCGGGGGCAGGCGGGGACAGGTCTAGGGTTCTGAGGGCAGGGGAGGGGGTCCGTGGGAGAAGGCCTGGGCGGGGAAGAAAATGCGTTCCGAGGGTGAGGGCGGGGGTGGGGGTGGGGGGTTGGATGGAGAAAGGTATGAGATTCCGAGGGAGCGGGAAGAGGGGTGCAGTTCTGGGTTCCGAGGGCGAGGAGAGGGGGCTGGTCTGGGGTCCAGAAGGTGGGGGTGGGGGAGGGTATGGGCTTCTGAGGGCGAGAGTGGAGGGGGCAGAGAAAGTTTTGGGGTTCCGAGGAAAGGGGGAGAGGGGTGCAGTTCTTGGTTCCAAGGACGAGGAGAGGGGGCAGGTCTGGGGTTCCGGGGTCGGCGGGGGGTGCTCACTCGGGACCGGCCCTACCGCGCGCGCCTCACCCCCGCCCCCCGTCGCGCCACCCAGCGTCCTGCGGTTGCCTGGGGCAACGGGCCGGGGCTGCGGCGCCGCGCACTG